TGAGGAATTGCCAGTCTTATTTTCACAGCAGCTGCACCATTTTACATTCCCACCAGCGATGTTCGAGGGCTCCTATTTGTTCCCCAACAACTTATTTCCCGAAAAAAAATTATAGCTTAGTGGGTGTGACGGGGTATCTCATTTTGGTCTTGATATGCAATTCTGTTGGCTAAGGATGTTAAACATCTTTTCTGTGGGTTATTAGCCATTTGGTTTTGATGCTTTTCATATTGCCTTCGAGAAGGTTCTTCCCCCTTCCTGTCCACTAGTGTAGACTGTCTCTTTACATGGCCTCACCACTGTTGAGTTGTTGGAAAACCCTTTCCAACCTTTCAGGGAAAAGTGTCTCGTTATGTTGCCCATTTCTCCTGTTAGAATTGAGATCTAATTCACAATGTAAAAGTGATGGTTTTATTGGGTCCATTGTTGTTGTTGTTAAGTGCCATCGAGTCGGGTCCGACCCACAGCGACCCTGTACAGGGTTTCCGAGGGTGTAAATCTTTACGGGAGTAGAAAGCCTCATCTTTCTCCCGCGGAGCGGCTGGTAGTTTCGAACTGCTGACCTTAAGGTTCGCAGCCCGATTCGTAACCACTACGCTACCAGAGAGGAACATCACTCCCGATTCTCCCTTCCTCTAACCCCCTGAGACCACTAGTCTGTAGAGATTTTGGCCGTTTTCTTTTGCACATATACTGGATCATTTGCATTGCATCCACTTCTCCTCCTACACATTCTGCCTTTTTCTTACTGGTTTTCAAGATCTCTGTCGCAAGTTACAAATATTTTCATCTGCCATCAGACATTTCAATTTTATACCTGGGTTTTTAAGTTCTGGGCAAAGACACAACCATGTCTTCCTCGATGGCTTCATCCTTTGCTTTTTATGCGTAGAAAGGCCTTACCACTACCACCACCACCACCCTACTCCCCGGGATCAGATTAGTCATGACTTAGGTTTGATTCCAGGTGGGCCTTAGTTTCACTTTTCACTCTTAATTAATCCTGTTCGGCTTTTCTTCTTTGCAGCATGTGATTTCCTGTGTTTTGATGGCAGAAGATGTTTTGTAAAAGCGCCTCCCATTAAGTGCTCGCCACACACACTCTGGACGTGGGCTCAGGAGACTGGCCCTGCTGTCACCTCACTTTTGCTAAATCAGTATTCTTTGAAGACCAGAGGTGGCCAACCTCTGGGCTTTGGGAGACCCTGATGGGGCCCAAGTCCCCATCTCCAGCCCATGGCTAGTATAGAAGTGGTTTATTTCTTAACCACAGTGTTTTCCATTCTTGTCCAGGCTTAGAACAGTTGCTGGGGTCTTTCTGCAGTTAGTTGTCTCTGGTCCCAGCTGACAGGTGCTAGACAAGTATTCTTGTATGGCTACCAATGACACTCACCTTACTTATCCATGGACTCAGGTGGGGTCTCATCCAGTTCCTCTTGGTGACACCTTGTTTTTCAATGTTTTAAAAAATCCACAGGGCATAGCTTCCCTTGTGGCTCCAGCCCGACGTCAACGACAGCACTGTGGGTGGGAGGCAGGTGTGAGGGACAGGCGGGGACTCTGGGACCAGGATGTGGTTGCTCAAGGTATGGGCTGGTGGCAGCTGGTTTACAGAGCTCGGGGAAGGGGAGCACTGGGGGAGGCCGCCAGTGATGGGGTTGTAGCAGGGTACTTGGGAACTTTCTGGGTTTAAGTGGAGCCTGTCCAGATGTTTTTGCTTCTGGTTGCCTAGCTGGCTGGCTGAGCGACGCTGTCGGGACAGCACATTCTCTGTCTCACGACCGTTTACCTTCAGGTCTGGGCTGGTGTCCGTCCCCACCATGGTCCCAGGGGAGGTGGTGATGCCAGGTGAGGAAGGTGGGTGTGTCTCCCCGCTTGGGGGCCCAGATTCTGGAGGAGTTTCCCTGGTTCACTCGCTTACTCTGGCTGGATCAGTTTTCTGCAGCTGGGAGGTGACAAGTGGGGGTGTGTCCATGTCCCTCTCCGACATGTGAGAGGAGCTTTGTGTCCTGGTCGCTGGGACTGTAGGGGGAGTGTGGTCTGTCTCTATGAGAGGGTCTTTGTGTTATTTTCAGGGTTCTCTGACATGGGGGGTCTTGAGCAGGGGGCATACTCTGCCACTGCTTCAGAAAAACCACAGCCCACTGTCCTGTGCCCTCCCTGGCCCCAGCGTTGTTTCTGCTAATGACATCCCATAAAAGGTCTCCTGACGATCCAGGTGCATGGTTGTGCAGCGCCTCAGCTCATGGTGCCCTGTGGTTTCTGGCCCTGAGAGATGCTTCCTTCGCTTTCCCACCTCTGGGGCCAACAGCCCGACTGAGGGGGAGAGACCCTGTGGGCTCACCCCACTTCATAGAGGAAACTGGTCACATGAACACGCGGTAACCTGGGGACTGTGTGTGTAGCTCCTAGAACTGCCTCAGCTGGGGGACAGGGAGGGGAGGGGACTCTGCACCACCACCGATTAGTCTTTAAAGGTGCTTCCTCTAGGATATATGGTTTGGTCACCTGCTGAGGCCTGGCAGTAGGAGAGAGCTACAGGCTGGAGTGAGATCGAGTTAGGGGACCTGGGGCCTAGCAAAGGATAATGTCTTGGGTTCTGGTGTGGGCCCCCAGCTGCATGCGGTTCTTAGCCTCAGGTCATCAACATGGTTGTTGTGGCAGTTGAGGTGTCTGACCACCCCAGACCTTCAACCTGTCCCCACTGATGCAGCTGTTGGAGTGAAGGTTATTAGCACCTAAGCCCTGGGGTCAGGTAGGGTCACAGGAGGTGACCATGGGCCTTTGTTGAGGCCAGGGCAGGATTCTGGAATGAGCACTGGTTTTGGTCTGACTCTTCCCTCCACATTGTGGGGGTCCCTGGAGTGCTGACCTTTCTGCTTCAAGTCTCCTGGCTCCCCCTCACCAATGCTTGGTGTTGTGGGTTGAGCAGGGTTCCTGCTGGCTCATAGGCCAGGGTTTTCAGTCTATCCAGGCCATGTTAGGATGCAAACCCAGCCATCCCCAGGAGCTGGTTTCCCACACTTGAAGCATCTGTGGAGTGTCCTGTGAGGCTTCCACCTTGCTGGCAGGGGTGTTTAGCCCAGCAGCCTTCCCCGCCCCCTCCCAAATCTCACACGGGTGGCCTTCTCCTCTCACTTTACAGAATTAAACTTCCCTCAAGTTTGCTAGATCTGGTCTGGTGAGACAGTTGCCACTATATCCAAACCAAAAACTCAAATTGACCCTCTGCAGGGTTTCTGAAACTGTCAGTCTTTATGAGCTTATAGTCTCAGCTCTCCCTTGGAGTGGCTGGTGGATTTGAACCACCAACTTTGCAGTTAGCAGCCCAATGCCTAATTCACAGAGCAACCAGGGTGGGCCTGTACTTTGAAGCTGGCTTTTTGATAGCACCCAGTCACTAATTCCATTAAGCATCTTCCTTCCTTAATGCCACCTTATCCTGACAGGGATCTGGGGATGTTGTCCCCGTGTTATCAGAATGGAAACCGGGGCTCAAGATAGCTCCATACCAAGATGCTTGAGGGGGGTTTGAGTCCACAACCCCAGCTAGTGCTCGGGGCAGATTGGTGAGAAAGGTCTGCCAATGTCCCCGTGTGCCAGGTTGCTGCTTAGGTGCGGACTGGCCTCAGAAAAGCCCGTGTGCTGACCAGAACTCCCTTGGTCTCCTGGCTGTCACTGCATAGCACTTAGCTCTGGCTCTGCGATGAGGCCGGCACCCCACTTATCTCTCTCACATTGGGTGTCTGTCCCTCGCTGGATCAGTGGCTTCAAGAAGGAAGGGTGGTGGTGTGTACACAGTGAACAGGGTGCAGCCCAGGGCCTAGGATGGAACACTCCGGAAGCAGGTATGGGGCACAGGTTGGTGAGGACAGAACTAGTGTCTGTGTGGTCCCATCCTGGTACTGCATGTTAAAAGCCTATGAGATACATCAGCCTCAGGTCCCACCTCAAAGTCTAGCACTGGGACAGCAGCTCATCTGCAGCCCCCAGTGCATGAAGGACTGAGCCCCATGCCCAAGGTTGCAAGGTCAAGATTATCCCAACAGCCTATAAAGGAAGCGGCCACAGCCCCTCTCCCATGTTTTGATGCTTGGAGGAACAGGGGTGGGGTCGTTTACATCAGCTAACCCCCGTGTGATGCTCAAATCAGACACAGTAAAAGGGAGTGAGGAGCCCACCTGCAGCCCCACACGGCTGTGACATCCCCCTCTAGACAGCCCTCCCCAGAGCTGTGTGGGAGGGAGTGGAAGAACCCCTGAGCACTGGGAACTCCCTCCGTCCTCGGGGAGGCTCAGTCAGAGTGAAATTCCCTCTGATGGTGACTCTCAGTGTGCCGGCAGCACTGGCTGCCCCAGAGGAGGAGAACTGAAAGGGAGGTGGGGCTGTTCCTCCCCCTGGTTCCTGCTGAGGCAGAGGCCCATTGGAAAAACAGGGAGGAGGAAGTAGCCCTTTGCACCTCGTGCCCTTATGGCAGGCAGATAATAAATAAGAGGCACTGAGAGGTAAACCTTGCTGCGTAGAGAAAGTCTATATCTATCTGGCCTCCCAGAGGAGCCTGGTTGAGGTGTTGGCAGACAGACACATCAGAACTCACTGGAAGGCTGGGGTTTCTCCAGTAGCCCCCAGCTGCCTCCTAGTCGACTGCTCCTTACCTCATCTTGGAAGCGGCCGTGGATCATCTCATGAGCAGAAGGAACAATCTTAGCACCAGAGTTGGAGATTGGGTGGGATCTCCCTTCTGTGAGAATCCTGTAGGTGGTGAGGGGTTTACAGGTTCTGGGACTTGGCCAACACTCACTGCTTTGTCCCTATGGGTCTATTGTGAGAAGGCTGCAAAGATGAGGTTGGTGTGCTGCTGCTGAGGGTCCAGGTTTTCTAAGGTGTGGATACAGCTGACTTCTTAGGGCCCTCACCAGCACAGGTTGCTAGAGCTCCGGAGGTGGGGTGGGGCTCCCTCCAGGCAGCTACCCCAGCCTGAATGCACCCTTGCCACCTAGAGCTCGAAGCCCAAACTGCAGGCGGCCTGCTCCAGCATCCAGGAGATCCGGCGCTGCACCCGCCTGGAGATGCCCGACAACCTCTACACCTTTGTGCTCAAGGTGAGTGGGTGACGGGCGGCCCACTGGGCTGGGCGGCCCACAGAGCCTCAAGGCTGCCCCTGCCCTGCCAGGTGAAGGACCGCACAGATGTCATATTTGAGGTGGGAGACGAGCAGCAGCTGGACACCTGGATGGCCGAGCTCCGGGAGTGCACTGGCCGAGGGTGAGGCCTGAACCCTGCGTCCCCGCACAGCCTGGCTGCACCCCGACCTGCCTGGCCCTCACCCCGCTTCTTCTCCTGCAGGCTAGACAGTGATGCTGAGTCGCCTGCGTCCTCAGCCCTAGAGCCAGGCCCAGGCCGCTCCCCTGGGGGAAGCACGGACTCCCTTCACCAAGGTGAGGGCTGGGCCTTCCTGGAGGGGAGCTCTGTGGGGATGCCTGCCTCACCACCTTGTCTTTCTTCTCTACCAGCTGCTTCTCCTGGGGGGTCTCTAGACCCTGCCTGCCAGAAAACAGACCACTTCCTGTCCTGTTACCCTTGGTTCCACGGCCCCATCTCGCGCGTGAAGGCTGCCCAGCTGGTTCAACTGCAGGGCCCTGCAGCTCACGGTGTGTTCCTGGTGCGGCAGAGCGAGACGCGGCGCGGCGAGTACGTGCTCACCTTCAACTTCCAGGGCATTGCCAAGGTACGGCAGGGCGGGGCTGCCCCGGGCCCATGGGCCCAGGCGGGTGCTGAGTCTGCATCTCCCTGCAGCACCTGCGCCTGTCACTGAGCCAGCGGGGCCAGTGCCGCGTGCAGCACCTGCGCTTCCCCTCCGTGCTGCACATGCTGCAGCACTTCCAGCGCTCGCCCATCCCACTGGAGTGTGGTGCCGCCTGTGACGTCCGTCTGTCCAGCTACGTGGTCGTCGTCTCCCAGTCTCCAGGTGGGACCCACCCCCCCCGCCCGTCTGTGGTGGGGCACGCGGACCTCCTGCTGGGCGGTGCACTGACCTCTCCCGCCCTTTGTCCTCAGGTCCCTGCAATGCTGTCCTGTTCCCCTTCTCCCTGCCTCGATGGGACTCGGAGCCTGGCCTTCTCCACCTCGGCTTGCCTGCCTGTCCCCGGGGGCTGGGCCCCGAAGCGCCCTCTGGCCGCTCCTCGCCCCCAGAGCAGATCTTCCACCGGGTGCCTTCGCCCGAGGAGCTGGCCGATAGCCTGCGGCTCCTGGAGACTGGGCCCGAGGCACGGTCCCGGGACTCGGACTATGAACTGGATGCGTCCTCACGGAGACACTTGCGGGCCATCGACAATCAGTATACACCCCTCTGATAGGTGGTCCAGGAGCCCCACAGATGTGGACTTGAATGTAACCAAGACTTGGGGCGCTGCTGGGGTCGCCCTGCTGTCAGACCTGGTGACAGCCTGGGGTCTGCGTGGAGACGTCGTGCTTTCTCTCACTGACACAGCCCTAGCTCCTGACAGGAAGCCCAAAACACTAACAAACAGCCCTGGATCCTCGCCTTCTTCGCTGTAGCCCACACCACAGGTGACCACACCGGGCCCTGCTTCTCCTCAGCTTTAGGACAATGTTTGATCATCAGAGGGACAAGCTCAAAAATGATTTTAAACATTTTACCTCAGATTAATTTTTTAAAAAAGGATTCAGGTTTCAAAACGAAACTTCCTTATCTTACGGCACTATTACTTGCTTATCTTAGGCCCCCCCCCCCCCCCAGCAGTTGAGACAACTATGCAAACCCTTCCTGACTAGGTTCACCGTCCAGGCTGAGACGTTGCTCCCTCGTCGCCCACACCCTCAGGCCGCTGTTGTAGGGGAGTGAAGCAGGCGGGTCACCCTTTCAGGGAAAATCAGGCAGGGTGGCAAGGGATGCTCTACCTGGTGCCTTATGAATAAAAAACTGGATTCTGGTTTACAGCAGCCTTGTGGTGAGAGTACTATTAATTGGAGGGAGGATCCCTTTCTATAGAGTCAAGCCTTCACCAATGGCTTCATGCTGGCCCTAGCATCTTCATGGCTTATTCAGTCACCCAATGGAAATGGAAGCTAGTCACCTGTGTCCTAGCTCACAAACACCTTCTGTCAGGTGCGCAGAGTGGACAGAGGCTGTTTGTGCACTGGAGTGAAGACTCCGCTACCCCATTCACAAGTGTTGTAAGTCATGGGGTTTGTGTGGAGGTGACCATGGAGCCAGCACTGTCCCTCAGCCCACCTCTCGCAGCAGCTTCTGGACAGGGCAGCGAGGTGCTCAGTCTGCCACCACCAGTACCAACAGCCTGAGCTGGGGTAGGGCTTGGGCGGCTCTCCAGCCATTCTCATCTACAAGTCAGATTGCTGCATCTAGAACCTTTTGGAATTTTTGGGGGGTGGGGTAGGCAAGAAGCCACCTCTGTGCCCCGAGTGCTGTGGCAGCAGAGCCCACCGGATCAAGACGTGTGGCCTATCTCTAAAATGCCGCCCTCTGTCCTTCGTTTTCTATACATCAAACAGATTTCCAAAATGCAGTGCTATATAACATAAGCAGGACTCTGGATTTCTCTTTTCCAAGAGAAAGTTCCACACAGAAAGTCCTCTGCACAGGCTGAGTAGACACTAACCCAAGGACGCTCCCTCCCTCCCTCAGCCCCAAGTCTGACCACAGGGGAGAGAGTCCCATCCACCCAAGGCTCCCACTTCTTAGTGTCGGGCACATCGGGCCTAGCTGAGCAGTGGCTCTGGCCCCACTGACTGTGCAAACAAAGTACTACTTGCTCAGAACCTGTGACATAGACGTGGACCATTCCAGGGTGAAGTGTTCAAGAAAAAATACTGCCTCCCTGCTCAGATTCATCCTGATACCAAGCCCCTCATGGCCTTGGGGGAAGGCACACAGAACCAGCCATCTCTTCCCTTCCCTGGCCCCTCCCCTCCAGTTCTATGATTACAGAGAATCAAAGCACTGCCACCTTCATCCAACTCCAGTCAGCTTTGAACACTAACAGTCACCAGCACCAAAGAATGAAGTCGACTAACCTGCCTTCAATTCTAGACCAGCAATCCATACGGCTTTATCTGGTATAAATCTTCTGCCTTGCCTCTGATCATTTCTGGACCGTGTAGGAAAAAGGAATAGCAGTCATTAAAACCTTGGGCCAGGGAACACTATTTTTACATAACAGTTTCTTAACCTAAAATTAAGGCCTTGACCTCTGCCCTGATGGTGGACTGAAATCCCATCACTGAAATTCATTCAGGGCTATATCAGCTCTACCAGCCCCCACAAGACAGAGGGACTTGACAGTTCTCCTCACAAGGACACGTCTGACATCAGTGTGTGGTCGGAATAAGCAGCGCATTGTAATGACAACACAGAAGATGGATTCATCTTGTACCATTACAGGCAGATGGTATCTGGCAAATTTCTATGTATTGTTTACGTACTGTATGAATAACTTATTCTTGAATAATGAAAAACTTGCTATAATGTACAAATTGCTCTATGTGAATAAACAAAACTTGGTAAAACCGTGATCTGCTGCTGTGACATGGACTGGCTCCATTTCTTTCCATGTGGCCTCATTCCAGAGCCCTCCCCTGCTCAGATACTTGCTTCTTCCTGACCCACAATGTTTGACACAGACAGGTGCGTAGGTACAACCCCTGCCCTTGTTAGCCTCTGTGTTCTGCTTTTCTTGGATAGTTAGGTTTTTTAAAACAGTGTCTCCTGCCCCCTACTGGTTAGACAGGTACCTGCACCCACACCCCACTGTGTGGGTTCAGCGGACGGAAGGAAGGAAGCTTACAGGGTTGATGTCAGCCTGCGGGCGGCCCAGCTCCTCCAGCAGCAGGCTGCCAGTCCACCAGAGAAGAGTTCAGTCTTGACTTTCTAGAGATACCATGAACCAGAACTAAAGGTGAAGAAGAAAAATCATTGGACAACTGCCTTCTGGAACATTCAGAAAGTATACCTTGGCCCTTCTGGCTCAGTCACAAAGCTCCGGCAGCAGAGGGGCTTATACAAACACACGCTAACTTGATGGCAGTTTTTAAAACTTTTTTTATTTTTTAATTTTTTTTTAAAGTTTTTATTTTATATTATCTACAAAGTAAAAGTTTTTTCCCTTAACTTAAAAGTTGGACCACTGTACACAGTGATCACTTCATCAAACTTGATTTATAAATAAGAATCCGTTGGTTTGACGGTAAGAATTTACTGAACCTTTGTCAAGTTTAATAAAAGGGCGTTCCAAGTCTTGATTTATTCTAATATTGTGTTGTGTTTTTTTAGCAGTAATAAGCAGCAAGAACCACTCTTGTTACTTCTTTTGCTAGCTGATGTGTTCATGACTTTCAAAGGGTCATTAAAAAATAAATAACTTCCAGTTTCAGCAAGCAGAGCTGGGGGGACTTGGGGGACTGAACAGCGTATGGAATTATGGAACAGCCCACACATTCCTAAATGCCGCTATTCGGTCCACATAGCTTCCACTGCAAGGTGAACTGTTAGCATTCCTATTGGATGTTACAAGAAATCAACGTATATTTTTAAAAACAAAATAAATGAAATTCTAGTTTTCTGTGCTTCCAGTTGGTAGAAGCAGTAGAAGGGTAGAGGGGATTTGGCCTTTCTGTTCATCCAGGGCAGCCTTACAACTGCTGTTGGTGGTGGGCTTGTACTGTAAAACAGAAAAGTGAATGTTTAAACAGAAAACTGGAAAGACCACGCATTAGCCTAGTGTCTGCAGCACGCGACTGTAAACTATCCTCGTGCTAGCTGAACGAGACTCGAGATGAAATCCGCTTTTCCCTCCCATCTGCACCGGGGTGGGGAGAAACAAGCCAGTCAGACATAAAACCATTTCAGATAAAACTCCCACAAGACGTGTTGCTCATGGGGTAGGAAAAAGGCCTTAATGTATACCCCCTCCCAACATACTAGCCAAGCACCGGCACTGCTTTCAAAGTAAAAGGTCCGCCTGTGAACAGAGCCGTGGCCGCCAGCATGGGTGTGCGCGTTCCCGGCGCCTCTCCTTGCCAGGGCGTAGACTGCAGCTGTCACTACCCTGTAGACCAACCACACACAGCACGTGCGCATCAGTGTTCTCAGTGCTCTGCCCTGGTAACAACCCCCCACGAGTCCGACTGCTGGGCCTCAGGACGGAACACCTGCCCTGTCCAGCCTGTCATAACGAAGAAGGCCAATGGAGTCCTAGGCACATGCCAGCCACCCAGACCGCGGCTGCTGCTCATCAAGCCGAATCCTGGAGACCACAGAACACACAGACTCGGCACCAGGAGCCTCAGGCCCTGGCACTGAGCTGACCGTCACAGTCCCTATTGTGCGCACTAGGACGGGTCTGGCTAGCTCTCCAATGAGGGGCGTGAAGCACTGGCCCTGACTGCCCTTGGCCCTGTGCGAGCAAAATGCTCGGGGTGCCCCGGCGGCCCTGCACACACACGCCTCACCTGAAGGGTGCGTCATATAGGGGAAAGGCGCAGTTGTCGAGACTGGAATGGGTTGTAGTGCACTTTGAGCGAGGGCGGCCTGGGGACCGCCGGGTGGCTGTGTCGTCATTAGCATCATTGGCGCATGGGCAGTTGGATGAGAAGGAACCATTCCTGACTGTACATGAGCCTGAAACAGAGAGCTCTTTTACGCATACAGGCAACATCTCCACTGAAACAACATGTCAACCGTTCCTGTCACTAAGCCGGGCTCGCAGGGCCTTTGGGGCCCTTTCTTTCCTCTGGGGCCTCACCAGGCAACCTAAAGACATGGGACTGTGGGGCCTAGTCGAGGTTTCTGGCCCTGGGTCTCTACAGGACAGGGTCCTCACAAAGATCAGATCACTGAGCCAAGGGCAGCTTTTCAACTGAAGAAGGGAGGTGCCCGGAAGATGCTGAGTCTGGCTCCATGGACTTCCAGTCACGCAGGAAGCAGGTCATTACACTCAAGACAGGGCAGGGCTGTCAAGTCTCTCCTAGGCTGCCCTCCCCCAGCTTCTCGCCTGCCCAGCAACACAGCTCACTCAAGAGTGTGTTGGGGCGGGAAGAGAGTGTCGGGAAGACAGTTGGATGGAGGAAGAGGCTGTAGTTTACGAATCCAGTGAGCAGGGAAGGGGTGATGAGAAGTGATCATTTGGGCACCCCGTGACCATGGACTGAGTGAAAGCCATCCCACATGGTCTCCCTGTCCAAGTGGAAAGGTGACCAGAGCCAGCACCGTCAATGAACCAGGAAGAGCCCTAGTCTCTGGCCTCCCACACCAGGCGCTGGGCCAGGCCAGGCCAAGCTTGGCAAAAAGTGCTGTTTGGACTTTGATACACAATCAAATGGGCCCATAGCATGTTGGGCTTTCCTCTAAGTAGTAACCTTTTTGTCCTTTCAGCACAAAAACACAAAAAGTAAGGTTTTAGGAACCCCAACTTCCATGTACGTTCACACATACCTAGGTAGCCACCAGCCTCTGCTTACCATCTGTCTGTAGGACCCCAGCCCTCTAGAAGCTCTGATTCCACCAAACCAGGCTGTCCTACACCTGACCAAACCAGTTCCCAACCCCGCCACCAAAAGCACATCATCACTGCACTGTCCTCTTCTACAGAACAAGGATGCCCCGAACTGTGGACCCCCAGTTCCAAGGCAAGCTCCCCATGGAGAGCCAACCAGACGCAGCCTGACGACACACGGGGCCAACCCCACTGGCACGCTGAGCCCAAATGGAATTCCATCCGACAGGTCTAGCTTAGACCTGACCCAAGGGAGTTGGAGCAGGGAAAAAAACCCAAACTAACCCCCAGCCCCAGTTAATCCAGTTCACGGTAAAAGCCCCGAGAGGCAACAGGACAGCAGAGGGCCCAGCTTCAGGGAAGTGGTGCTCCCGGCCCTTTTTGGCACAGAGCCACAATGGACCCCCACACTCTCCACCTCTCTAAAAGTTTCCTACACTTGAGGTTAGCCCCACAGTGCTTCCGAGGCTGCTCTTTAGGGACGTGGTTCAGACACCTGGTACTCCGGACCCACTGTACACAGCCACACCCTTCAAGTACAACATAAAGTCACAGCAAGAGAAACAAATGGAGAAATGTCTCCGAGCTGTGAGACTGACATTCAAGCTGACAGGCCCCGTGTGGTAACCCACCCACCCACCAGGCTGTTGTGTGTGTGTGTGTGTGTGTGTGTGTGTGTGTGTGTGGTGGTGGTGGGGGGTGTTATACATACAAATGTGTGTAGCCAGAAGCTGTACACACAAAGCAAAGCAGACACAGAGAGGAAAGAAAGGTGGGCTGCATTCCAGAGGCATAGGTCTCTTTAAGGTCTCAGTTGGGAAACAGTACAGGGCTGACTAGTCAGCAACTCCATTGACTCTATCACAAAAACAACCACACAAACATTCACTTAGGGCCAGATCACAAGGGTTTGCACAAGGGAAGGGGACAGGCGATGGCACCACACACAGGGTGTTCTAGCTAGAGAGCACTGGACGCTGCTGCTCTGACAACCCTCAGGCCCTCTATGGTCCTGACAGAAAGCTGGCTAAAGCTAGTTTACCTGAGGTACGTGGGCCATGTGGGGCGGGTTGGTGTACGCCGGCTGAACATGAGAAGGATGGATCGTAAAGACGGTTTGTTGTGCTGTTGGGAAGCTATTTTGTGGCGACTGCGTGTTGGAGGCAGGGGTCATGGAAGGTGGGGTTGGTGCGAGCCCCGCGTGGTAGATGGCCGACTGCTGCTGTGGACTGGCCAGATGGAGAGCCTGGGCTGCTTGGTGCTGATGGTGCTGCAGAGCGACCAGCAAGAAGTGAGAACAACACTGGAAAGAGGTGCGTGCGGGTCCCAAAGCAAGCTGAGCTCTGTGCTAGAGAGCAGCTCCCATGAGGGGCTCCAAGAGGGCAAGGTTGGGCCAAGTGGTCAGCCAGGGCTGGACTGCCTCCTGCCCAGATATCTTTTGGGAGCAGAAGATCAACCCTCAGCCAGATAGTTCCAAGCTCTCAACCAAACAGAGGACAGAGTAGGGCCCAAGGAATTAACAGATGTCAAAACTGATCCTTAACAAGTTAAAGATGCCCACACAAACAAAATCAAACCTCAGACATATTAGGAATGTCTGACAATATTAGAAGTCGCCCCAAACTCCTTACTTTATATATACTCTGTGTTTAAACTAAACCTTTCATTGCTGAGCTTACCCGTCACCTTATTTTAGTATGTGACTAAAAGTTCCGGGAGGCACAGCCTGCTGACCGGAAAATGTTACCCAAGGGCAGGGTATCCGTGGGTTTTGTTCTACAGGACCCTGATAGATGGCCAGCCCTTAAGGAAGCCAGGAGGTCTCTGGTTTCTCCTTACCTGAACAGGACTAGGGGCAGGATGACTTCCACCATGCTGGCTTTGCTGTTGTCCGGTGGGGGTAGCTGAAGGCTGAGGATGTGGAGGATGTGGGTGCAGGGTGGCACTGGGATGCGCATACTGCTGAGCCAGGGAGCCAGTGGAAACTGAAGTGGAAGACAAAGGAGAATGCACATGGCATGTAGAGATCAGTGTCTCAGTTCACAGGGTGAGCTTTCTCAGTGGTGCCTATGTCTAGATATGCCACCACCCATGTTTCTCGAAAAAGTACGTGCAATCTATAATATCCAGCTAGCATTGACTCACATGTTAAGCTAACTGTATACGTTTTATTATGAAATCTAGCTAGCCAGCCATTAGGTTCTCCTGATCAGGCAACTTGAAAGCGCTGGCACAATCACACAGATTCACACTCACTCTCTCAGGCTAACCTCACCATGCTACTGCCCTGGGGGCTGAGGGAGGGTAAAGTCTCCATGGGGTGGTGAGGTCACATGACCAGTCTCTTTCCACTCATCACTCTGTGTGTCCCTGGGCCCTCTGCTTTACACACTCAGAAGATGGTATTGACTAAACAATGTGGGAAAATGTACTCCTTCACAGTGCTCAGTCCTTAGAAGGGATTGACCGAGCTAGAATAACTTCAAGTAAACTAGAATGAGCCAGTTTAAGAATGTACTCAACAAGAGTTAAGAGCCCAAAGTCAAATCTTTATAAACATAAGCTAAGGCCATTTCCTTGGCTCAATGCAGGGAGACCAGCTAGAAAGTCCACTTGTGAATCAGGATGATGAGATGAGTTTCTGTGGCCAGTGCTAGCACAATCTAGATACAAAACTCCCTGTTTTGTGGCAACAAGCTGAAGACACAACTGGAGCAATGCTAACCTTTAAGTCTTTTCTCAAGACATTAGTCCTAAAACTAATTTAGAAGCTAAGCCCACACACAGAAACAATTCCAAAACCATTTCTCCTGGTCATCATATAACATGTTAGCAGACAAAACCATATAAGGGACAAGTCAGGGAGAAACAGGCACTACTGTGGGATCAGGTACTCTGCCTCTGACTTGGTGTGTCCCATGTGAACAGGGTTAGGCATATGAAGCTAAGAGTCTTCAACACCCTAGTTCAAGTGCAAATGGTGTGGCAGTCGTGGTGATGTTCCGTGGACTTGGTTCAGACTCACAGCGACCCTGCATAGGGTTTCCGAAGCTGTGAATCTTTTACGGGAGTAGAAAGCCTCATGTTTTTCCTGTGAAACAGCTGATCATTTCAAACTGCTGACCGTGAGGTTAGCAGCCCAACTTGTAACCATTACACTACTGCAGCTCCTTAAAAATATCTCTTAAAAAAGGAAGTAAGCCAAATGGCCAGTGTTGGGATCACCTCTGCATCTAAAGCCAACAACACAGCTGACCCCAAACTCAAATTCCTAGCGAAGGAAATGAAACACAGCAGTCTTGTCTATGCACTGGTATGTTTTTGAGTGTAAAAGTGAACATGCTGTTGGGCACCATCAAGTTGGTTCTGCTCCATCCTTACAATTGGTGTTGTTTGAGTGTACTGTGCAGTCACTGCGTCGGTTCATTTTGCTGACCCTAAACTTTACCAGGCATGATGTCTTTCTCCAGGGGCTGGTTCCCCTGGTAACATGCCCAAAGTATGTAACATGAGGTCTTATAATCCTTGCTTCTAAAGAGCATGCTGGTTGCACTTCTTTCAATGCAGATTTATCTGTTCTTCTGGCAGTTTATGGTATGTTTCATATTCTTCACCAATATCATAATTTAAATACATCAATTCTTCTTTGGTCTTCCTTAGTCACCATCCAGCATAAGGTGATTGAAAAATACCATGGGGCTTACTTAGGTCAAGCACCTTAGGTCTCAAAGGGACATCTTGGCTTTTTAACACTCTAAAGAGGTCTTATACAGATGTGCCCAGTACAACACATCATTTGATTTCTTGACTGCTGGTTTCACGGTCATTGATTGTGGATCCAAGTACAATGAACTCCCAGATGATGCCATCTTTTCTGTCAGCACATAAAGGTTCCATTGGGTAAGCAATGCTCGAGCCATTCAAAAATTACTTTATTTTCAAATCATCAACATAAACACCACCCTCCCCATTAGAAGCTTCTTAAATGTTTAAAAGGAGTACCAAGCTCATCTGAGGACAAGCAATCTCCAAATTTCAAATTCCACTTAGGGGATTTCACAAAGACGGGACAGAATCTCACAGGTTCTAATTTTTTCCATTAATTTTTTTCCCCTTTGCAGACAGTGTGTGTGCATCTAGCACCTGCTTCTAATTTTTAAAAAAAGTTTATTTATTCAAGAAAAAAATTTTAAACTAAAGTTTTACTTTTTCTTTCAATTACTTTTAAAGCACAGTATTAAGAATATAAAAAATACAGGAAAAAGAAAAGTCTAGGTGGGTGGTATATACGTATGTATGTGTATATGTATTATATATAAAATCACAGCAATTGCAAAGAGAATAATTATGTTCATAAAGTCTTATGATCAAGTTATTCATCAATTTGAAAGATGTAAAAGTTTTGAAACTGGAGAAAAAAATTAAAGAAAACAGTTCACAAAGTATTTTTTAAAGGTATCTTTGTGATACTAATGGGCTCTATCAGGGTTTCAAGACTATCAAATAGCATGTTCGAATCTACACTCTGATTTGCATGTATGGACACAAGCTTTCAGCAACCCACGCTGAGTGAATCTACATATATTTTTGGTTAGAACACCCACTTCTTCCTCTCTGACCATCAGGCAACTATAAGGCACTGCTACAGGAGAAAAAATCAAGCAGATGCAATATATGAGGGGACTTCAAAAAGTTAATGGGACAATGGAATGAAAAGAGAATAGAATTTTTCCCACACATTTTTTGAAGTCCTCACATAGACGTAAGTTGCATGTAACACTTCAGGCAGTCTCACTGGGCATCTTTCTCCTTTGTTCGTCTTCTAGCTTTACCAGAGTAGTAAGCAAGCACTTGTACAGAAGTCGTTTCCCTCCACAAATACAAAACCTGAGCAGCTTACTGGGAAAAAATGTGAAATTCATACTTTAATGCAATATAACAACAGAAATACACTCTGGTCCCTTGAAAGGCAGTGGGAAATGAAAGGTTGAGAAGAGACACAAGAGAGGGAACCCTACAAAACATAACAGCTTGTGAGAAAGAGCTGCAGATATTTTAACTCCACTGCTGCTGTTACATCAACTACAGCAAGGATTCTAGGATGACTAGATAATAAAGTGAATTCTCTTTGGAATTCAGATAGAGCTACTTTCTGTCAGTCCTCCATTAACCAAACTTCAGTAGCCTTCATAAGACCTGCTAGATCAGGTCAAGTCCATCAAAGAAGTATTGCTTCTGTCTTCAGACGTGGTCCCAAACTTGCCCCCACCCCTCACCCCTGTGTTCCTTGATATATACATTTGACATTCTAAAAAGTCAAATCTTTATAACACTTTCAAACATTGTTTCCTATGCTGCAGCCTTACTCAAGCAGAGGTAGTCCTGAATGGGATGTGTTTCATTTTAACACAGTAACCTTGGATGAACAAGTTCTGAGTCAACACCAGCTTTAACAAGGACACAAAGCACCCACATTGCAACGTTTCAGCCCAATGTTAACTCAGAAAATGAGAAAGTATGAAGGAATATTGAAAAGTCTTCAGAAGGGAAATCAAAGGCCATAGGACCAAAGCATGACAAAGTGCCTCACAAGAAGGGAAAATGAAATTAGCAAACTAAAGACAAGTAACAACATAGCCGTTAAGTTTCTTTTTAGAATGCATTGCTATTCCTTTCCAGGGGACACTGTTCTAGAGCAGTTAATACTTAGATGTGTCAATTAATGATTTTTTTACCTACTTACTAGGAAAATGACTCCAAAACTACCAGAGACAGTAAGATGGTGAGGATAACTCCATTTGAACACAATACAATCAAGCTGTAACACTATCTATTAACATACTGCAATCACATACGTCCCTTTAATAATATCCATACATACAGCAAGACTCCTTTCTAAAGAGCTTCTATATTACAGGATTAAATTTGTTAACGTTTCCTAGTACCAAATATATAAACAATAATACGCAGACACTTATTTGTATCAACTTATTTTTGGATACCAAGTCATGGCACAATTAACAAAATTCTCAGGTCAACCTGTTTTGCTGTTTTAAAAATGCGTGCTTAAATCTGACATATAATAGAATCAGACATTAAGTCATTCCAAACAATTGAAAACTTAGTCCCTGATAGAAAATGATAATCCTTAGTATCTTCTAAAATGCATAGTATTTCACACAAGGCGGTAGTATCAATAGCTACCGAAAGGATTTCTGCAAATTAGTCCTCTTCTTTTCCAAACCCAATTCCTACTTAAGGTGAAAACAGACCAAACATGCTCATTTCCCAAGCACCTCAGAGCAGCCACTGATATCCTCCAGGGCGAGGAACGGGAGCTGCCCAGTCACCCCGGCAGAGCTCTCACCCTGTAGACACACCTGCGGTGCCTGTAAATGGAGTATTTTTAACCTTCATTTATGTGAAGACTGAAATTTGGAAACCTTTCTCCTATAGTATACTTCATCAACCCTCCTCATTTAGCAATCCTGGTAAGGGAATTTTCTTCTTACCAGGGCACTAAAACATGGAGCAGTACCAAGCTTGTGCCTTGGTGTTAATTCTTTTTCTTATTTTTTAATAAGCTGTCAGTTAAGGAAGTTTCTCTGAAAAAAGGGAAAATATTAGGCATTTCCAAAATAGTCATGTTTGCTTGGTATGCAAAAATTAATTTCTGAAACAAGTAACTGTTTTTGTTTTTGTTTTTTTCTTAAAATGAACTCCAGCTTTCTTAAGCTGGGTTTTAGTTCCTTTTTTAAAAACTCAGAATTATTTATCTATGTGTATAGACATACATACCTATAGATACATTTAATGATTTTGTCTGGCACCAACAAAATATTGTTCAACAAGTCTACTCCATTAACAAGTGTTCTTTAAAAAGTGTTTACTGTACAATGAAAATTAGTATAAAAAACCCAACTCACTGGCAAAGTAGAAAGAAGGGCTTGTCTCCTTGTTGTATGGGAATTTGGGACATGCTGAATTTGGAAATAGAAAGGTAAATTAGCCTTTTGAGGTGTGAATTTTCCAATTTTCTGGAAGAGGTTGACACATTTAGTAATCTTTTTGTATTCATGCATAATTCATAGTTCTTATTTCACAAGAGATGATGAGAATTTTTAAATAGCGCTACATAATTAAATCAGAAAGCATTCTAAGACAGACACCGGTCTTCTGCACTAGGCTGTCAAGTTCCAAAAGCTAACTAGGCTCAGGGAAAGGAATAAAATCATAAAATCATCAGAGTAAAACACCAATATGACATTCCACTGAACAATATTTTATATAAACAATGTACCAAAATATGATCGTATTTACTGGACTCAATTCCAAGGACTCAAACAACTCTAATTATTAATACAAGTGCTGTTATCCTGAAAGATGTTTATTAGACATCTGGTAGTGGATCCAAAAGTTTAGAAACATAGTTAAACATGGACATATTATCATTTCTCATAAAAACGTGTCTACAGACAAGTACCTGCATATGTTTAAGCACATCTGCAGTATAAACAACAAAATGTGAAAAAGTGGCAGGATAATAGGAGCTTTTAAATTATTTTTGTGGGCAGTATGTTATGGTGTATCTGCTTCTAACTACTAAAAATAAACCAAATCAGGATTATGGCCCTCATTCTTTCCCCAAAGTTCTAGCTAACAGACAGTTTCATCATTACTATTTTAGAAAGGGAAAACCACCACCATACCAGCAAAATTAGATGAATTAGAAGACTGGATGATAGGGAAACCAAAATTACAGTTACCTCTTAGGAAGGAAGGTGTGAAGGGTATCATGAAGACTCAGTTAACAGCAGAAATAATGTTTGTGACTAAAGTCCTTCTTAAGATGGCTAGAGACACTAATGCTTTTTCAATGCACCTCTCCGACTCTAACAGCTTAACTCACCAGCAGTAACCTGTTAGCACAGTTATGTTAAATCTGTCAGAAATGTAAAAATTATATAATGAGTCCACCAGTTTGCAGTCATCAGTGACCCCATCTAAGCTCAAAATCTTTAGTGTGGTCATAACAAATACATGACAAGGAAGTGACATAAAGTTGTCACTAATGTTTGGATGTATATTTTTCCATGTGTACAAAATGTTTTTGAAAATCTAGATAAAGTAGCTAAGGTGAAAAATAAACTTAATTTGTACTCAATGTATCTGGCTATTTTGAGAAGGTAAGATATAAATTATTCAAAGGCGACAAATCAGCTCTATGCAACAATTTTCGTCTTACTTTGAAAGAACATGCTTATAAATTCGTCTGTGTTGTTGTTAAGTGCTGTCAAGTCAGTTCTGACTCACAGCAACCCTGTAAAGGGTTTCTGAAGAGCGGCCGACGAGTTTGAACTGCCGATCTCGTGTTTCAAACCAACCTTGTGGTCAAGTGCTTATCCTACGCGAGTGCCACACCAGGACTAAATGTATATGTATTGGACATTAATTAGGCTTTTGGATAAACTGCTGAAGACTAACTGAGGAACATGCTGTAGCAGATTAAATTGTAGGTTATGATGGCAAAAAACAAAACCCTTCATTTCCTACAGTTCCTAAAAGTAGGGTCCTAAAGAGTTCTGGCGTGGTGCTATGGGATAAGCACTGGATTGCAAATCTCAATGCTGGTGGTTCAAACCTACCAACCGCTCCTCAGAAACCTATACAGTATTATCTAAGAGACAGAACCAACTTGGCGGCACTTAACAACAAGTACCCAAAGGAGAACCTTGGTAGAAAAGGAACTAAGTCCATGGCCTAGTCTTCAATTACAAGCTATGCAAACAGCAGGTAAGCAATTCATATGTGGTTGAGTAACTTTCTCTTGGCATGAAAGCACTAGCTCAGATAACTAGTCCATTCCTGATTTCACTGTACATTTATTTGGTCTAGTGTTTTCTATTTTTTCAGTATTTTTTATTTACCCACACCAGAATGGACTTCAGGGTTCAAGGATAACTGTTTTTCGAATGAACTGTTTGAGGAAGGTCGTTATACAAACCATTAGTTCCTCAAATACACTAACGCTATTCCCTATATTGTTGTTATTAAGTGCCCTTGAGTCAATTCCGACCCATAGCAACCCTATTTAATGTGTTCAAGGAGTGGATAGTGGGTTTGAACTACTGACCCTGTGGTTAGCAATCTAGTGCTTACTCTATAGTGCCACACCAGGACTTGATTTACTGTGTAGGGTGCTTCAAAAATCAGTGAACATCCATTCAAAAGACAAAGGCTGATGTTGGCAGTGAGTAAAAACATGGAATTCGAGAAAGACTCTTCTCCACAAGTTGGGCTTAACTATATATACTGTCTCAGGAGCTCTAAAAACAGTGGAAATTTTAGTTCAAACATTTCAGATCATATTCCAAGGGAAGTATGCCAAAAATGGGAGGAAATACATGCTTTTGCTATTTGTTAAAATCATGATGTATTCACCAGAAATGTAAAAACACTCAAAATGAACTTTTTACCTAAGCTTTTACGCAACCAGGAAAAGTTGCTGAAATGCATAAAAGTCATCTTGATGAATCAATGGTGCCTTTTCAGACAGACTTAGTCCTGTTTAAGACACCTAAAGACAAGCCAGTTATAACCAAGAGCATAAACGAAAATCAGCCTGTCAGCTTACTTGTCAATGAACTACAATGGGCTTCTTGAAAGATGTTTTCCAAAATCTAGCAATGACACTACACCATGTATCACTAAAAATGCATATTCCCCAAGAAAAAAGGTTTTAGAAGCAATAATATGGAAAATTAAGATCAGATCTCTAAGTATTTTAAAAATACCGCCTTTAGTCATATAAAATTACCCACCATTAGCAGCCAGGAAGAAAGCAGAGCTGGGTTAAGAGTGACAAAAGGATGCGGGTTGCTGCCTGAGGCCTAGTCCTATCACCTACAGTGCTAAAGCTGCCACTTATTCAAAAAATGGGGATGTCGAATGTCTGAAAGGGAAGCAGTGACATCTCCAAAAAGGAAGTTCTTGAAGAGCTCAATTTTGCCTAAACATGTTCACGCATATCTAAAGAAAAACAAAAACACAAAACAAAACAAACTTTACATTCTTGGTCATTCAGAAAGTTTAAAGAGGTTTAAAGAACAAATGTCCAGGGAGTCATTCTAAATCCATTTTTAGAATGGCACACTTAAGTGTATGAATAAACCTACATTTATCTCCTCTCACCCCAAACAAACTGCAATACCAGTGGTAGAACCTAAATCACCACTACAGGAGCTCTCAGAAAGTATGTTCCAAATAAGACTGACACCTTGATGAAACTGATGCTAATAAAGCTGTTTTCTGGAAAACATAATCCATCAAGTCTACATGATACAAGGGGATATTTTATTTTAAATTCTCAACAATGAAGATTGTATTGTTTAAGTAGCTTAGAAAGCAGCTAAGATGGTCTGCACAAAGTTCTTGTTTGGCCACAAAACAAACTTAGGGGGGGGATATTATTCTTAAACAGAAGTACTGTTTAATTTTATATAGGATACCTAACATCATTTTACCACAGTTTACATGGACTCTGTTTAAAACAAAGCGTGAATCACGTTTGAAGTCCTGTGTGATGCAGGGCGGGAAGCACTTCAACAAATAGCAGTAAAGTATGGGAGGCCTGGGGGAGGGCCCCAGTGCAGGGAGCCAGGCAGAATGTGCCCTGCTGCTATTACTGTGGTGGGCCTTTCTTTCATGCCTTAGGCAAACTATAGCAAATGAGAAGCAAAAGGAGGAGGAGGAAATCTTTCCCTGCTGTTACAGTCATTACATTATTGGTTAAGAAAAAAGCAGAGACATTTGAAGACTGAGGAGTTTCAAGTACAGACATAGAAGTGAATCGCCAAAGCTTATAAAGCAGGTCAGTGGTAGAAATGAATTCATCTTTCAGATGTTTAACTCACAGGGTCACAAAAGGTCAGTTATTCTTAAAAGTATCTTTTCACAGCCTTAAAACCAATTTACAATGAGTACACACACTGAAAAGACAAACAAAGTGTTTCCTACCATACATCGCATGTGTCTGCTCATGAGCCCCATACTGAGTTGCTGAAGAAGACACTAAAGCAGGCTGGGCATGTGCTGGAGGTGCCATCATTCTAGCATTACCCTGTATGACAGGGCTATAGACATGAGGATGCTGCATTCAAACACAAAGATTAAGACAAAACATTCAAATACCATAAAAAACAGATGCCTTAACTCTAGGGTTTCCAAAAACAACTCGACTAGATATTCCCTGAAAATTCTAATACCGTTTTTTAGCTGTTCCCGTGAAATTGTTATGTTGTTGTATAATATACATATTAAAAAGCCCCTTCCCCGATGTAACCCCACCATACCACACAGTCACAACATAGTAATGAAAATCATTTTGTCCTGTTAAAAGTTCAATGAAAAGCTATGTCAATGGAACAAAAGCATCAGGAAATAGCAGCCTTACCTGAGACTGATAATGTGGCACGTGCTGAACCAGAGGTTGATTTGGAAACTGCTGAGGACTGTAGGCAACGTACTGGGTGGAATAAGCTGGAGGGGTGGCTACAATGGGTGGGCCTGCTGCTGAGGCAGGGTGCATCATGGTGTTCTGATGATGTTGCTCTTGACGTTGTTGGGGCATATTTGGTACTGCAGGAAACAAGACAACTTAGTGCTAGAACACAGCATGAAATGTAAGCACCTGGCCCAGAGGCCCTGCACAAGTGACTTGCCTGCCACCCCCATCCAACCTCAACCATTCAGGGTTACCATCACACAGGCTACTCCAACACCATTTCCCCACCACCCAGAGACCAGTCTCAGTCTTAAAGCCACTTTCTCAGAGACCCTCAATGGTGGTCCCCGAAGTGACTGGACCCCTATAGCACTCAGTGCACTCCCCAGGTCATCGCTGTCTGTCTCCTTTTCCATTCTTCCAGGACAGGGGAGAGCAGGACTCCAACCTTACCTGGCTGATACACAAAGAATGTCCCTTGTCAGGGAGGGGACACACAACAAAGACAGAAGACACCCAATCCTAACCTGGTCTCTATGTCTCTCTTTTATTTCACTAAAAAAAAAAAAAAAAAGTTTATTCTTTTGTTTTTGTTTTATTGGGAATTATGTGATAGTTTACATGGGAGAACATTAGCTTTACATTCACCCTATCGTATATCGTTTCATTGCCATGGTTACAATCCCCTCCATGCAACATCAACCAACCAAAGGGTATAACCCACAAGCCTGCCCCTAGGTCATCAGCACACAGCCTCTCTCTCTCTCTCTCTCTCTTTCTGGGTCTAGAGTCCCCAGCTACTCCCCATTTTTCCGCGTCATCGTCTCTGCCTTCAGCTCTGGCATCACTGCTTCTCTGAGTAAGTTCCCGCACTCCACTCTTCTCCCTTGATGGTCCCAGAGGCCACCTCCCCATGCCTACAAAGTCAACCATTCTCCTCCTTTGATACAAAACATCTACCTTTAAATTTCCAATCGTCACAGTCAGTCCAGATAACAATACTATCATATCACATGAGTTCTATCCCCATCTCCTTTCATCAGCCCTACCCAGACAGATCGGATACTACTCAGTGGAGATTCTACCTTCCTCCGCGCCCTCTGGAACTAGACTCCCTCTTGAAAGCTTGTAAGCCAGTCACTTCTTGCCTTTGTAGCCCTTCATTTTGGGTATCAATGTCCAAGTTGTCCATCCCTGTCTACTCTGTGTATGGAGGGGGTGGGAATGATCCTCGCTGTAAAGATTTGTTCCCTCTTTTGAGCTACTGCATCCATAGGCGTAGTAGGTCAAGTTCAAATTGTGTCAGATTACTCTTTTTTGTTCCTCTTCTTTCTTCTAGTTGAGCTCTGATCATCCAGCCATTGAAGCCAGGTCAAGTGGGTCTTATCTGCAAGTGTGGGTGTTCTTATGCATATGCCCTCAATCTCTCTTTCTGGTAGTTTTTTTTTTTCCCCTTTTTCCTGTTCTGTTGTTGCTTTCTGACTTTGGAGAGACACTAAAGGATAAGCACTGGACTGCAAGGTCAGTGGTTCAAACCCACCCCAGTTGCTCTTAGGAAACCCTATATAGGGTTGTTATGAGTCAGAACTAACTCAATGGCACTTAAGAATAACAACAATCTGTTAACAAGTAGACTGTCTTCATAGGGTTTTCCTGGGTGTACTCTTTATGGAAAGGAGCCCTGATGGCACTGTGGGCTAGGCACTGGGTTACTAACTGCAAGGTTGGCAGCTCAAACCCATGAGCCACTCCACAGGAGAAAGATGAGGCTCATCTGCTCTTGCAAAGCTTTGCACTCTTAGAAAACCCTATAAAGAAGTGCTATGAGTTGGAAGAGACTCGATGACAGTAGATGTGGTTAGGTTTTGAAAACCTCCATGGAAGCAGACTGCTTAGGCCTGTTCTGTGGTGCTGCTGGGTACGTTTGAACCACTAACCTTTTGTTACCAGTTGAATGCAAAGTGTTTGTGTGGCCCAGAGACTTTTCACCTCCACCTCTCTTATTAATTTCCCACCACTGGGTCTCTGCACAACTTCTCACACAGCAGCAGCTAGCACAAAGGAGGTTTCTAAATGATAGCTTTTTAAAAAATGGTATGTCTCCTGTTACTCCGCACACAGATTTCTCCCGATAAGATGTTTTCCTGGCAGAACGCCAGCTAAGAACGCAGCTCAACCTTCTTCTCTTCACGAATGATTTTCCCAGTTCCCCCACCAAGACCTGTGTTCCTTTTCCTCACTGCCTATGACTGCACATATTCAGGCATCAGATCTATTTCTGCACCATGCCGATCAAGCTGCTCACAATACCGTAACACACAGAGGCAGGTAACTTGAGATGTTCAAAGAATTTATTATGAGGTAACTGTCAATTTCCCATGTTTAGTTTTTATTTTATATCTTTCAAATTTTTTTTTTGCCTAAAATAGTAACAACTCTTGTTGAATTTTGTTGTTAAGTGCCATTGAGTCGGTTCTGACTCATAGTAACCTGTATAAGGGTTTCTGAGGAGTGACTAGTGAACTTGAACTGCCAACCTTGCGATTTAAACCGACCTTGCAGTCCAGTGCTTTAACCCGTAGCACCATACTTTTAGGAGAGCTAATCACCTATTATTTTTTGGGCGAGTCTGAATTAAAAGTAAACTCAAAAACAGAAGAAACCAATCGAATAAAATATTTTTCTGAATTTAATCTTTGTTGTTATTAACTGCTGTCAAGTCTGTTCCAACTCACAGTGACCCTGTACAGAGTTTCCAAGGATCATCTGGTGAGGTTGAACTCTGTGGTTCAAATTGCCCTTGCAGTCCAGTGAATTATCTCACAGTACCACACCAGGACTCCGAATTTATTCTTAGGAATTCACATATTGTTAGAACAGCTCCTTTTGGTAAAGAAAAAGCCAACCCAAACTAAGCCGATATTTGTATGAAGTAAAAGTCAATCAAATCAGCTGACTGAGCTGCTGCCTACTCATTAGCATGACTTTGATACTTATTGTCCTTATGTGTGTATTCAAAAATTAACTGAAAAGCCAACTTTACAGTTTTAAAAAAATTAAAATTACAAAAATAATGCTTGAATAGAATCTTAGTGTGAAATATTTAAATATTACAAAGAAAAATGCCCCTTTCCAGTCAGTTGTACACTGTTTTCTTTCTTCCTCAGTAGTAATGGCAGTAGGTAGCCATCTAGTTATGTATCTATACATAAACATATGTACAAAGTGATACGACAGGGCTTCAAAAGAAATGGAAAATTCCCAAGAACTTTATGAAGCCCCCTTGTACATAATTACAGAGCCTTGGCTATGGTTATTATTTTTTTCCTATGTTGGTGTGGTGCTGTAGGATAAACACTGGACTGCTAAAGCACCAGCCGCTACCTCAGGAACCCTATACGAGGTTGCTATGAGTTGGAAAAAACTCCCAGGCACTTAAAAGCAACAAGAAGTATAAGCTGGAACCGACTCCACAGCACTTAACAAACAAACAAACAAACAAACACCAAACATTTCAAATGATTCATATTTAATAAAATAGCAGCACATAGAATCAGCGTAGACAGCAATAGCCTTCTTATGTGTACAAATAACAACTAGTTAGAAGATGCAATGAGAGAAAAGTACCAAATTTTTATCAACGATATAAAAGGAAATTTCGGTAGCCTAAACTGAAGAAACACAAAATCCCTCATCTGGTTATCTCTGGAGGGTGATAGGGAAGCAACTCATTATTTGAAGATTGGTTTAAGACCCACACATCCAACGGGGCTTCAAAAAGTTCCTGGAAAAATTCCATTATCTTTTTTTTGGTTTATATGTTAAAAACAACACCACCACTTAGGGACTACTTCCTACTAAGTTGGCACTGCCTAGGCAGTTTCACAGGTATTTCATTTTAATTCTTACAATAGCTATGTAAGGAACTGGCTCTATATTAGAGGGTTCTCATTGGCTAGGAGATTATTGCTTGATATACTTCTATTTACCAAATGTTTTTATTGGCTAGAGGTTCTTATTGGCTGATGAATCACAGGGCAAGAGCACTCACGACAGATTCAAATAAAAAATACTGTATAATTTTGTTTTACCCCAACAAGGGGGATGGGATTGGTAGGAAAAGAGTAGAGGAAGGAAGAGCCAGGGGTCTTGCTCCTTGAAGTACCATTTGACTTTGCTTTGGTTGCCTATGCATAGTAGGGCAGGATGTGGGTAATGGAGACGAGGGAACATGGTTATAACTCTTCTCACTTCCTCACAAGTGCCTTGGATCTGGGGCCTGATCTCCACCTACACTGCTGGGTCCCAAGCCCCAGGCACTTTTCCATTTGGGGCCACTAGGTATTTCCAGAAAAGTTCCAGGTGGGCTCCTCCTTCCCAGAAGTCTCAAGCCATGGTACTTCTCCAGTGACACCAATTTGACCTGGATGTTGACAGCCTTGAAGTCATAAAGTCCTGCAGCCGTAGCCTCTGTGCCACGGCAGCCACCATGACTCACTACTGAGGTGGCTGGGACTCAGGGGCAAAGGCGAGGCAAGGCGAGGGACTCCAGTATCTTTTAATCCTATTTTAACACTAACGTATTGAAGCCACCCCTCGCCCCCCAAATATGGTTAAGTGAATTCTAAAGAAAAAAAATGAACTGGCAATACAATAAGAAAACAGGGTCTGTGCTGGCAAATGGACACGTATCTGGGAACAATGGGAATCCCTATGATTACCATCTCACAGTCCACACAAAAAGTGCCTTGAAATCGACATACAATGAATCCTGTACAACTAAAGTTTTAGAAGAAATCTTAAAATATTCAGAATCTGGGGTAGGCAAAAGTATGGAACAAAAAAAGCATGAATCATAAAATAATGACAAATTGGGATGTCATTGTAACTAACAACAGTACCCCACCAAAAAAAAAAAAAAAGAGAGAGAGAGGATGGACACTCTGGCTGAGAGCTAGCCACAGACTGGAAACAATTTTCACACAAAACTTATATCTGATAAAGGACTTGTATTCAAATATATCTAGACTAAAAATAGGGAAAAGATTTCAGTAGGTACTTAACAAAAGGTAAACAAAAAACCAGTAAACACACGGAGTGGGTTCTGATTCATAGTGATTCTGCTTTAGGGTTT